TATAGGGTTTCTATCCATTTCCACTTCCACTTTTCCTGGTGAGGGTCGTGGTGAAGCCGCAACAAGCACAAGGCAGGGTACACCCTGGACAGGGCACCAGTCCACCGCAGGTCAAGTGCAAGACAATCATACATGGGGACAATTTGGAGGCCACGGTAAGGGCCAAGAGGGGAAATTTGGCCTGGACACCAGATGCCTGGGGATCTTTAATGTCCACTGAGAGTCAGGGCCTCAGTTTAAAGTCTCATCAGAAAGACCCCACCACTATACTGGGGCATTAGGACCCACACAGACCACAGGGTGGGTACCACCCACTGGTCCCACTAACACCAGTTCCAGCAGCAACCTCAGCTTTCCCAGGAGTCTCCCCTCCATGTACTGGCCGGGCTCACACCTGCTTAATTTCAGTGGGTAGCCAGTTGAGAACTGCAGAGTGATATAGCTGCTGACCCATTTCCTTCCATTTTTTCCAGTACAGGGATGTTGCAGAGCAAGAGCCTATCCCAGCAAGCAATGGGCACAAGGCAGAATACACCATAGATGGTATGCCAGTGCATTACAGGGCACACACAAACACAAATAGAAACTAATACCAAGGCCAGTTTTCTCAGAAGCCACTTAATCTAACAGTAAGTTATTGTATTGTGAAATGAAACCAATCCAAACACAGAGAAAGGTCTAGAATTAAACTCAGGGCCCCAGTGCTTCAAAACAGCAATGTTGATCACTGGGTTACTGTGCTGCCTGATATGCATATTATTAAGTTTAAATATTATATTTGAATTTGAGGTAACTTTTATTAATTAAAATACAAAGGGCTATTATTGACTTTTGAAAAGTGTCAGAGATATGCAGATCCATACATACAATAATTTGGATGAGTTAACTTTTGGAACATCCATTCTAAAATCCCTACTCTACATGTTATTACCTATAGGAGTTGTTTAAAGAGAGATACACCTGTCATTCAAATGACTTATTCGGTTTTGTTATCATCTAAGAATTTTAAATTAGGTAGAAAAATGTACTCTTCAGCAGGATAATGACCTCTACTAGAGCACGGTCACATTGAAGTTAACTAGCAAAAGGAAAATTCTATAGAAATTCATGGTAAGACTTGGCAGTTCCATCAGCTATGCCCAAAAAACTGTAGAACTTTTGCCAGGAGAAAAGGATCAAATTAACTCACATCAGTTTGCTGTAGTTGCTGGTAAGCTGTACTGCAGCATGATGATTGATCAAAACCCAACCACAAATCTCAGTGCACT